AGAGCAACTACACAAGCACAATGTATATGAAAGTAAATACAAGCTTGTATTGAGGAATTGCAAACCAACGGGAAGAACAATGTTGACACGGTGATTTTTCTCCCAAGGTTCATGTATTTGCCAATACACTAGTCTCGTTGTGTCGACCGCTCACTTGGTGGTTCAACGACTAATTGGCATCACCTGCCAAGCCCGCACATTGGGCACCACAAGAACCTCCCACAAGTGAGGGTAGCTCAATGACACGCTCTACTAGTGTTTCTCTTCGTGGCTCCCACGGAGTGAGCACAATACCTCTCACAAATCCTTGCTCAGAGCACCGCATAATCTTCTTGCATGCTTCATGATGGAGAACTTGCCACCAAGTCATCTAGGAGGTGGCAACCTCCAAGAGTAACAAGCACCAACAACTTGCAACTTGAACACCTAGTGCCACTTGATGCAAGCTTATAATACAATCGCACTAGAATCGCTCACTCACATAGTCGGATCGAACTCTTGCAAGCACAAGTGAGTTAGAGGCATCCAAGCACTCCTACACAAGCCACATAGGAATGAGGGTGCTCTGCAACCAGCCCAAGGCTAGCTAGTGCTTGGTTTTATAGCCCAAGGGTCAAAAGAGTCGTTGCTCAAACCCCCCCTGTTCATGGTCTGGACTGGACCCTCAGGCAGCGACCGGACCCACCTTGTTCATAGGGTCCGGTCCACCTGATTGCGCCATGTGTCCCTAGTGTTTGAAGCCGACTGTTGCTCCGCAATGGCTACTTCACTTGGGCGCAAAACCTCCGGACCAGACCCGCGTCTCCACGACCGGACCCTGCAACCACCTGGGTCCGGTTGGATCCAGAGAAGTCCCGAGAAGGCCAAAACCCTTGGACCCAGTCTGCTTGGTACAACCGGACTCTGAACAGTCAGGGTTCGGTTCACCTCCACACGCCACGTCACCTCTTCATCGAGCGAGTCAAGACCGGACCCAGCGCCCTGTGTTCGAACCCACACCATGCTAGAGTCCAGAGCACTCGTGCCACTGCTCAGAACTCTACGCGCCACAACCAGACCCACGGCTCAGGGTCCGGTCCTGCTTGATGCCCTGGTTCAGAACCCCCACGAGCCACTACGCCATTGCTGCAACTGACCGGACCCGACCCTGCCCTGGGTCCGGTCCCCTGGGTCCGGAACACCACAGTGCCACGCCCTGGCTAGGGTTGATGACCGGACTCACCCACTCTAGGTCCTGGTCCTCCCGTAGCCAAGGTCCGGTCCACCTAGGGCACCTCCTTTTTCTTCTCCAAGTTGATCCAAAATAACTCCAACAAGTTCTCCTTTGCAAATGTGCCAACACCACCACGTGTAACCACCGTGTGAAATGTGTGTTAGTTTTTCACAAACATTTTTCCAAAGGATTAGTCACTCAATTCACCGCGCCACTTGATCCTAGCAACAATGCAAAGTTGGATCACTCGAGTGGCACTAGATGACCGATATGCAAACAAGTTTGCCCCTCTTGATAGTACGGCCATCTATCCTAAACTCGGTCATAAACTTCTCTACACACCTATGACCAGTGAAATGAAATGTCCTATAGGTTATACCTTTGCCTTGCGCATTCCATTCTATCTTCTCCTTCATTGATGAAACACATGCACCAACCAATCACAATGATATGATCCACTTCATATTATCACGTGACCGTATTGGTTCATTGATCTTGACTTCACTTGCTCTTCACCGTTGCATCAGTCCATCGGCACCAAGTCATCACTCAACTTGCCCTTCACACTTGCAACCGGTCCATCAAGCCAAGCCTTGTCTTGATCTTCTTCACCTTAGTCACATGACTCCATGTCATGTCTCATATGCAATGAGCTTCTTCATCACGTGTGGGAGCCTTGCAACATATCCAAGCCATTTCACGTCCATGGCATAGGTTGCTCACACATGATGTACTTGTGGACTAATCACTTGTGTATCTCAATCAAACACATATTAGTCCACCTAATGTTGTCACTCAATTACCAAAACCAAACAAGGACCTTTCAATAATGTTATGAGAGAAAATGTAAAGAAAGAATCTTGATCAATAGTACTCAAAGGATATCTCATTTTACTAGTCTATATTTCTTCTTATGTTGGTCGGTAAAAAAAATCTTGATCAATAGTAAACAATTTTTAGGACACTACATAGAACCTCAAAGGAAAAATGAATAAATGTAAATTAGATAAAATCAAATTAATCAGTACCAATCTACCTCTTGTGGACAAGATAAAGTTGCATGGACAGGTATAAATCTTAGGTGTCCAATTTTAAAGGCATGAGACCCTAAGTTGAAATTGCTGCCCAGGATAGGAGCTGCCTTGGAGGCCTCCAACCAAACAACCTATCTCTTCTCGACCCTATCATCAATGGTTTTACCAATATTTGTAGTGGGATTTTCAGATAATGAATAGAATAACGAAAATGCTACGTGACATACGTCTGATGGACCGTACAAACGTTGGACGGCTTTTTCACCCCGTCGCTTGCTTTCGTCCGCATGTATATTAAAATAAATGTATCCCTTCACTTTCTCCTCCCATCCTTACCCCTTCCACGCTCCTCATCCCCTGCCGTAGCGCACCAACGCCCGGCCCTCTCCCCCACCCTGGCAAGATCCATGGAGCACGAGCGGGATCCACTCGCCTCCATGGAGGTGGCGCAACGGTGTTGTAGGAGAGTGGATGGCTCTTCCCCACCTCGACGTGGCACCCTCCTCACCTCGACAACGCCCTCTCTCACCCCGGTGGCCGAGCTCCCCACCCTAGCGCCATGGCCCTCCCTGTCCCCATCCCTCACCGTCGCCGTCAAGCCAAGCCGGGTGCTATTGGCGCTAGTGGTGGTGGTGGTGCTCGCGTGCGCCACTGGAGCTGGTGTTGGGTGGTGCTCGCGCGTAGCCGCTCGCCGCCGGCTCCCACCCGTCACCCGGAATCGACCGGCCTAGGCCTCTCTCCCCCTATGTTGCAAATATATGTTTCAATTGTTTCAGACATTTTAGAGACATATTGCAATTGTTTCATATGGATATTGCAAAAGTAGATCGGGAGATGTTGGACATGTTGCAAGTGTTTCAGAGGCATGTTGCAAGTGTTTGTTTAAATTGTTTCATCTATTTCTAGATGTATGTTGCAAGCGTTTGATCTGGATGTTGCATATATTTTCACACATGTTGCAACAGTATTCTCCAAAATGTTTCATCTGTTTCAGTCTTCTGTTGCAGCAAGTGTTTTCATGTTGTAAGTTGCAAGTGTTCTATCTGGATGTTGCTTATATTTTCACACATGTGTTGCAAGTGTATATTCTAGATGTTTCATCTGTTTCAGACATATGCTGCATTCAAGTGTTTTTATGTTGCACGTGTTTCCTGATGTTTTGAGTCAGGAGGCACCAGGAATGGGGCACGGCAAGCCAGTGGCCAGCGGAAGTGGCGTGCAGTGCGCTGGGGGCGGTAGTCGGGGACACGACGTGGCGGGGGTGCGCCTACGGCGGCGTGGCGAACAAATGGGGATGGGCGCAGGGTGCGTGGATGGGGGCAGGCTTGTCGGACGTGCGAGCGGGCGTCCGATAGAACTCATCCCCTTCGGACATCCGTGCATTAGCATTTCCCATAGAATAAGAGCCTACCATTTTACAGTCAAATAATTGAGAGTATTGTAACTCACAACCTCTTGCTCGATGAAAACAGAAGATTCTTTTTACTTTTGGGAAAGTTAGTTTGAAGCCAAAGTAAAAATAGATCTAACTAATTCGTAATTCATAATTCATGATGATTATTGTGTACTTCTCTAAGTTCTAGCACACCGGGAGTAAACGGTGTTTACCATACCCCTTCCCGTTCCGCGCGGACGTGCGGTAACCGTGTGGAACGTGCCGTAAACCTCTGCAGCAGCTCTGCTCCAATCGCTGCTGCAACACTTCTCCCGAAGCAAAAGCCCCAACAGAACAAACACCTGCAGCTGCAGCGCAGGAGTTCGCCGCACGCCACAGCACGGGCGTCCCGCCCGCGGCCCCTACTGCCCTCGGACCGCTCCCCACGACGAGGACGACCAACGTCCGCCCATCCTCTGCCTGCCTGCTGCCGAGGTAAACGCGACCCTCTCCCTCGTCCATTGTTTCCTAAGGAAAAGTGAGATGAGATATTTTTGGGGATCGACCGATTTAAGCCCTGTTCCTCGCTTGGCATGGCGTCCTCGTCTTCGCGCTGTGCTGTACTAAGCCTGTAACCGAGCCGTACCGTACGTACGGCGCCTTTACGGTGAATCCTTTGCGCCCAAGTCAAGCTTCCCTTTCCGTGCGTGCGATTGGGCCTTTGATTCGCCGTGGTGTGCATCCAGATTGTTAGAGCTGGTCGCGTCCTAGTAGTCAGTCACGGGAAATTCAGAGCAGGGCATGTGTCCACTGTCCTCCATCTCGCCATGGCTCTGCTGAGCCCACGTTGCGTTACGTTACAGTAGCAACAAACCATAGAGCTTTCTTCCCCTAGGGGGACCGTTCCCGACCTGTCCATGGCATTTGGCATGACGGCAACGCCATCCCCGTGACGAGAGCGACTCGTTAGTTACAGTAGCAACAAACGTTGGGCATGCATCGGCCGCCGGTGGCCAGCGTGCGCCGTCGTCGCTGTAGCGCGCTCGCTTCCGCGAGCAGGGGCCCGGCCGCGGCCGGGTACCTTCCTGCCCCCGCTCGCGACGTGGTGCGTCCGTGCGTGGTGGGGGACTGGGTTTGTTTGTTCTCTCTAGTCCGAGATGGTTAATGGTAGCTTCTATCTCGGCTGGTTATCCCGGTGGTTGGATTTGGATCCGTGTCTTTGTCTTCTCCAGGTAGATCCGCGTGGCTTGGCCTTGCCGTGGCAGAGGCAGAGGCAGAGGCAGAGGCAGAGGGGCGCGCGTAACTTGATGAGAGCCACACCGATGTGGGTGGTGCCTCTCGGGGCGCGCGGCTATTCTTTTTCTCCTTCGTCGTCTTCATGGAAGCCGTGAAGGCTGAGCGGAGGACGGCTGCTGCTGCTGCGGACGATGGCGCACAGCGGCGGCCGCTGGCGCCGTCCGAGAAGAACAATGCGGCCCCTGCCGATTGGAGAAGCGAGGGCCCTTCCCGGTTCAAGCCCGTCGCGCCACCGGCTGCTCCTGGAGCAAGGCGGTGCAGTTCTCCGAGCCCCGGCCGCGCCTCTGCTGCAGACGGCGGCTCGGCAACGTGCAACAACAGAGCGCGGTCGGCTGACCGAGCAAGGCCTGCCGCGCCTTCGCCTGCCCCGTCTTCTCGGCTGATGAAGCCCTCCACCGCGGCAAGGTCTGCGTCTGCCGTGCATCCACGTGAAGCGGCCGCCGATGGACACAGCACTCCTCCCCGCTCAAGGAATGCCAAGAAGGCCTCCGGTGACCTGTGGGCATCGGCGGCATGGAGTTCGTCTCCCCTGCATCGGCCAGAGCCCGTGCAGCAATCCCTTGCCAGTAAGGTAGACAGGCTGGTCCAGGGCTTACCTTCAGAGCAGGCCAAACTGAGGCCAGCAGGAGCTCTGGCCGCCGAGAGGAAGTGGAGTCCTCGTAGAGGGAGCACGAACAACACCGGCGACCGATGTGAGAATGCTCGGCCTTCGGAGTCCCCTGCCATCCCCAGTGTGAGAATGCACGAACAACACCGGTGGCCGGGGATGATGACTGGCCGTGGCCGGGGCTCTGCTGGTCTCACTACTTCCACAAGCGCTGCTGCTCCTGCTGAAAAGGCTAGCAGCAGGCCAGTCTCTTCGTCAGATGCTTCAGCAGGACGTTCTCCAAGGAGGACGCATTCATCTGAAGGCACAAGCACAACAGGCAAAAGCCTGAAGCGACCATCCAACGAGATGGCAAAGATTGTTCACCGGAGAAGGAAAGATAAGGCAGACTCCAGCAGTGACACCTCTTCACAGACGTCGGAAGGCTCTAAATCCACTTGTCGCCCGAACAAGCCCATTTCTTCGCCCGTTCCAGTTCTGCACCGATCGTCGTCGTCACCGAGACAGGGCTTGTTGTCAGCTGCATCCTCTGCTTCCCGGTCCTGCTGCCATAGCCCGTCGCGGATGAGGCCGTCAGTGCCTTGCCAATCAAAATGTGCGTCTTCGGCTGCGCATTCAGCAGTTGAACAGCCTGTTTTTAACTACATCGTTGATGCGCGGAAAGGGAAGAAGAGTGCAGGCCAGATTGAGAACATACATCAGCTTCGTCTGCTGAGCAGTAGATATCTGCAGTGGCGCTTCGTAAATGCGCATTCAGAAGAGACACTATCCCATAAAAATAGTGTTGAGGTAACACTGGCAATCTAGCATCTTACGTTACATATGTTCCTTCTCTAGTCCCATGTTACCTAAATCAGTTCATGTTATGCTGTTGTGCTTATCATTGATAACCAGGAGATGAGGGGAATAATTCTGATGAGACAATTTCATATTTTTGTTTGTTATAAGATTGCTGCACAACCACTGAACCACAAGCATTTTACTGGAAAATCGTATGCTAGTTACTCCATTCAACAAACATTTTGTGTTCGACCTAATGCTTTGGTTTAGTGATGCAACGTACTTTTCAGTTTGTAACATGTTTAATTTTTTTTGCATAATATAATCAGTCAATGTGCCCACCATTTACAGACATTGGTATTTTAGTATTTGAGTAATTGAAGTCTAGTCATTTATAGTTTTGTAGGTATTTTTTCTGTATCAATGTTCAACTGACATGATACCTTTTCTCCTATCATCCAAGCAGAGTATTCTTTACAATGTTTGGAAAAGTATCTTGACGCTGCGGGATGCTATAGCAATAACAAGAACCAATGTGCGACACCTGCAGCAAGAAGTGAAGCTGTATGACATTCTGACAGAGCAGGTGCATATTCACAAACCAGTCATTTTATTTTTGTATCTTTACCTGTTTAGGATTGAAGGACCCATAGGAATTTTGAAGATTTAGATTTATCCATAATCAAACCTTATGGCCAGCTTTCTTTTCTCTTGGCTTTCCGAAACTGGGTAATGTGAAAAACCCATACTTCGGTTTATTGACCACACTATTATGGTTCAGATTGGTTACCTGGAGCAATGGCCTGTACTAGAAGAAGAATGCAATGATACATTAGTTGAGGCAACGGAGGCGCTTAAAGCAAGCACGCTTCGCCTTCCAGTAACATCAGGAGCACATGTGAGTGGTAAACAAAATAGTTGCTGAATTTCCAGTTACCTCATCTTGAACTCATGAAAGTTCTTTATTGTTTCTAGGTCATACTGACATTACTATTGCATGAACAGGCTGACGGAATTGCAGTTAGGAATGCTATAAGCTCAGCCGTTGATGTTATGCAAGCTTTGAGTTCCTCTATTTACTACGTGCAATCAAAGGTTAGATTTTTAGTTTTTCAGTTCTTCCACAGTATATTTACTATGATAATTTGGAACTTCAAATCATTGTAAACTACAGTAAAATGAAACAATTACAAACTGTTTATCAGTACATCGTTTGGTGGAAGATGGGACGTCCTTGCTGCTCTTATTGACGCTAGGACATGCTTGCCAGGTCGAAGGTAGGACATCTTTGGTTTCTGAACTTTCGGTTATGGCGAGACAGGAAAAGGCCGCTCTTGATCAATGCAAAGAGCTCTTAGCTACGGCAGCAAAACTGCAGGTAATTTTTGGATTACTGTCAGGTCAAACCTTCTATTCCCAGACCTAGCTGATCACCGTTCGCATTTTATCCTATCATCATCTTAATAATTCACATTTTCGTTCCCACTTACCTCTCTAAATTCAATAAACCTTGGCACTCCAAACCCTAGTTGACTGAAAAAAAAAATGTACTGCGAATCTATAGATAAGGTGCAAAGATGTGAACTCATGAAAAAAAACATACTTTCATCGCTCGGAAAAATTTAAAACAATACACATCCATAATCCATCCATATATGAATTTTGTTGAAAATGTTGAGATTGAAACTTAATCTAGAAAATTTCATGCAAAAATAATGCACTACAAGATAAATTCAGAGGAATTTCGTCTTTTAGTGCACATCACTTTAGTTTTGTCTTTTTTGAATGGATGTTTCTAGATTGAGTTGAACTCAACTATTACTATGGAGTACATATATGGACTCACTAATCATTATAGATGTGCATCGTTTTAAATTTTTTCAAGTGATAGAAAAATGTTTTTAAACATTTTTGCACCTAAGTACAGCCATTCCAGTTGGATAGTGCTCGTACGTCAAAAGCAGCCTTGAGCTGTTGAGCATTATTGTACTCCGTCCAAGTCTGCATTCTTGTTAAGTTTGCCTTGCCATACCATGTTTTGGAATTGTTTGCTCCTTGTGGTGCTGGTTTGTTGTAAGAGGAAAACAGTTGGTTGGCTGATAAGCCCTAACTGAAACCAACAAACGAACGTTCGTTTGATTGAATCTATTTGCCTCCGGCGTCCTCCCAGATTCAAGTGCTGAATTTTCCATCAACAGTGCATTGTGCATATCTCGCAACAACAAACTTGAACTATATATATGTAAGATAGTAGGTTATTACATGGTTTATCTTTGGTCAGGTACAGGAGACCAGCCTTCGCACGCTTCTGATGCAACTGCGGCAGAGATCTGCAGGATGACGAACTGACAAAGATGAAGAAACTAACCATGGTTTTGACATCAACATGCCAACATCAGCCTACTGGAACATATACTCCTACCAATGTAAACAGGAATCTGTAGAGATGAGTAACAGACTATGCATACTGCACTGCACATATACTACCATACACGTCCTCTGTCCTTGGGGTACGAGGGGCGCTCTGCATTTCTGCAAGTCTGCAGCTAACAGCGACTCACGGTGCTTACAAATTATTTGAGAAAAGAAAAGGACAACAGGTGTAAATGATTTTCACCGTATTGTAGTTCTTCTTTTTTGTTTGTTTTCCCTTCATAGGGGATATTAGTTGTCTCTTCAGGGTCCAGTCTTTCTTACCCAGTGTCCACTGTGCATCTTGACTTTTGAGAAAGTGAAAAAGAAAAGTAAAGGATAGAAAAAGAACCGCCAACGAATGTCGCCCGTACAAGTACACACATAGTCATTTATTTGAGGCGAATCACTTTTCCATATGGGGTTAATCATTTATTATTTTAGACTTTATTTGATTTAAATAAAATAATATTGAGCCAAACCCAATTAAATCGAAAAGATAGCTACCTCATTATAATTGATTCAAACGGATCCAAGTGTCCACACAATAAGTTATATGTCTATTGCTTCGAACATGCATGTTTGCTAGTTAATAAAAAAATCATTATAAACCCCCAATCTTACTTCCCAACACATGCCTGACAAGGGGGTGAGATTAAAATCAAATTCCTATGGGGCGTGATTGGTACCCTGGGTGCAGCCTGACCAGGCCCGTCTAGTGCAACTAGGAAGCGTTAGGTTTCTTGAATAAAGGTAGGGGCCAGGCTCAGCATATGCAAAAGAGCGCTCATGGCCGGGCTCTCTAGAAACACAGTGAAGCTTTGTTTCCTCCCGGCCAGGCTCGCGCGGTGCGTCTCTAGTGCCTTGGCGGCCATTTTTTCTCTGGGGCCAAACACGTTCTCTAGCGGGCAATGTTGAGTTGCACCGGGCAACCAAACATATATGTCTTGCATGCACACAACCACACAGGCTAGCTAGGGCGAGCCTGGCTCCCAAATACGAGCAAGGTTGGCTAGAAACAACAACCAATCACGCGCCATGTTGGCTCTGTCCACTGACTTGTACATTTATTTTTTTTTCGAATCACAACGTAGACAATCATACATGCATGCATTCACCCCTATAAGCGCACACCTACTTATATGAGCACATTCGAAAGACTGAGAATAAGAAATATATCTCAAAATTGACGAAGTCACCACATGTACCTAGCTGCCGATGTACACATCCCCTAAAATGATGCCGCTAAATTCTAAAATAAAATTTAAAAAATACGAACACTCGTATTAAGTTGAATCTTGAATTCGAAAGGTCACGAAACTCAACCAAGTTGTGCTCAGTTCGCAACTACCACCTCTAATTAATACCACCTGCGTCCTATAAAATAAATACACATTTCTAACTATGCACTTGTATAAGTGCTTGCCCATAATTGTAGAGCCAGAAATGCATTTATTTTGGAGCCGAGGGAGTATGCCCTACTTTTTGTCATTTTGCCTAGCGTGTCGTTACCCTTGTTTTTGCACTTTTCCCCCACCAAAAGCAGGAGCAACGGTGTAGTGACTTGGTGAAAATAGAGCCAATCATGCAAAAGTTGGGGAGCGAGGCCAACCACACAAATGGCCCAAGGAAATAATACAAAAACGGCCTAGCCCATACCATCTGGGCCAAATAAATGTTTGAGGACCGTGGGGACTCGGCCTTCCGCGGTGCGTTTGGCATTGGCAGATGCTGAAATCTGACCCTCCGAGCTCGTCTACCATAGGCCGCCGCAGCCCACGGAGACATGGAAGAAAAGAGGAAAGAGGAACTGCAGCGCGAATAGCGGGCCGCTACTGGGCCGATGCTCGAGAGACCGATCTCTGCAGCAGGTGTAGATGCACTGGAGCCCAGTTCGTCCAATTTCTGCAAGGCTGGCTCCACAGCGGGGAGCGGGCCCTTAGCAGCCTCGAAACGGCAGCCTGGGAACGGAACATGGCCCAGGTTCTCGTTCTCATGTTTCACGTTTTCATTCATACATTATAAAATAATATTTTAAATTTCCTTTTCGTTCTACGAACGGAAACAGAACGGAAACATGGCTGCTAAGACCGGTCGCACCTACTTCGATCGCCAGCATCCAATGAGGTGAGGTCCGTCCACTGCCACCGGTGTGAGTCGATGGCGACTGCTGTCGAGGTCGACCCATCAACTTCGCACGTGAGCTGCCTTCCATATAAACAACATACTAGCCTACTACTACGAGTACTCTCTAACAACTGCCAACCATACAAATGTTGTTGGTGGCTCAATCAAAACATAAACAATACTTTACTCGATATTGCAATGAACCAGACTACTCCTACTTCGTACGTGCCGTCAAATCCACCACACGGATCTAATCTCGACAGATCGGAATGTCCAACGGGCTATGCAACACGTTACGCATACCCAAAATACATCATCTACAGGAAAAAACATCATACAATCATACATGAGTACGCATAAAACGCACTACCTATATTTTAAGGCGTCACGACATGAGAGAGAACCCAAAACCTAAAAGCTGCGTCGTCGAGAGAGAGAGGGAGGAGGAGAGAAAACAGAGTAGACATGGAAAGAGAAAAGCTAGGCAGTATAAGTGCTTGCTAATTGTAGGCTGCGGCAACACCGTCGGCGGCTTTGAGCGCTCGTTACCCGGCTCCCCCACCAAAAGCGTGGTGGAGAAAATAGAGCAAGAGAGAGGAGGAAGAGGAAGAGAGATGGAGGGAGAAGGCAGCGGCGGTCTCGGACTTCCTCCCGTTCGCGGAGAGAGGGAGAGAGGAAGAAAGAGAGGAGAGGAAGAGGGAGAGAGGAATGCAGCGCGAATGCTACTGGGTGCTAGATCACCAAAAGAGAGAGAGTCGTCAGGGAGGGAGAGAAGGGGGAAGGAGAAGATGGACGGCATGAGGCCTTGGGCGCCGGTGGCATGGTCTCTTGCAGCAATGAGGTGGGCAAGGTCCGGTGTGAGTCGTGCGACTGGCCACCCATCAACTTCGCACACGTGAGCTGGCGGCGACCTCTAACAACTGCCAACCATACAAATGTTGTTGGAGCAATCAAAACATAAACAATGACGCGATATTGCAATGCCCATGCTCCGGGCGAGAAGATGAGAGGAAGCATCAGCGGGGTAGAGAGAGAGAAGTGGAAGAGAGAGAGAGAGAGAGAAGGCAAGGAGAGGACTGGATGGGAAGAGAGTAGGGGCGCGCTCGCGCCTCACGGTGGCGAGAGGAAGGAAGAGAGATGGAGGGAAAGCGGCGGTCTCGGAGCCGACAGAGGAAGAAAGAGGCGCGGGCAGGCGGCGACTTGCTAGCGAGCTCGACCTCGGCTTCCCTGATGCTTCCCCAACGGCAACCTCGACGCACTCCAATGGCACGCGCAGCGCAGCGGCGTAGGGTTCCCTCCTCGCTCCTTCCTTCCTTCCTCCTTGCGCCGAGAGCTGAGAGCCCAGGAGAGGAGAGAGCCTGGGCAGCAGAGAATGAGGCGGGCAGCCACGGTCGCAGTGCGGCGAGGCGGCGATGGCGCCAGGGGCGCAGCCCCAGCCCTGGCGGCTCTACAAGCGCCGCGAGATCCAAGATGATGGACGCCATGGCTGGCAGCGCGAGCTTCATCTCCGGGGTTTCTCGCGCCTCCTCCACGCGGCGCCTCGGCTCCGTGGCCCGCTGCCCTCCACCTCCTGACGGCGAACCCGTGGCCGCCCTGACGACGCCTCGGCCTCCGCCCCACGCCTCCTGTGCCTCTCTTTTTGCGTTCACTATTGGAGTTCGCCAGTTTTGCGTTCGTTCTTCTTTCGCGTTGCGTGACCCAAACGGTGAGATAGGTCTCATGTTTGGGTCGGCTCCGTTGGAGATAGTCTTAGCTCTCGATCAATCAGTGAGCCCGCCGCCCCAGTTGCGAGGTCAGGGAGGGAGGTGGAAAACATATGTATTTAAAGAAGACAATAATTTTAGTTTATTTTTTTAAGTAGCAATGAGAAACAAATATTTACTTTCTCCACAAGTATTCGGTTCCAAAACAAAAGAATCAGTTTCCTTTACGAGTGGTGGCACGAGAATAATCATAGCACTATCATGCAACTCTTGTTTATCACAAAGGTCAGTAGAACATTCATCATGTGACAAAGGTAAAATAAGCGAAGGTTCTAATATAGCATGAGTGGTGGTTCTAATAATGCACAAGTATCAAAAAAAATGTTTTGTCCTTATAAGAAAAACATTTATCAACATTTTTTTTCTAAATCGATGTAGGGTCTTATTTTTGAAGAAAAAACACAATGGCTCTGTGTTCTGCAATACTACTTTGGCAATACTTTTCAGCGAACGAACAGTGTTTTTTCCTCTCACAACAAATCAGCATAATCCAATCAAAAATTGATTTAGTTGTTTGATTTGTAAACTATGGTTTTAAAAAAATCATAATAAACTATAATATATGTTACCATGTTACACCTTACCATGCAAGCTTTCTCTGCTCTCGTGCGCTGATGGGTGGGATTAGGTGGAGACTATCGCCACGAGACAACTGTGGAGACTTATCGTGGATTCATGCTACATGTCCATGTATAATCTGTTAGAATATTAAACAATTTTAGTAGCAATTTAATCTAGAAAAAGACAGCGAGCAATATGAATATGTTGGTGACATCATGTATGTGCTTGTGTGTCTTAAGTGTGATGAGCATGAAAATGGTACTAACCAGCAAGATACTGATACAGGACCTTACTAGATAGCGAAGAACAGAGACATACCCAACGGTAGAACCGGATGCACTAGTCGACATAGTGTATGTCGATGTAGTCGTCCCGCTCGTTGCAGTGAGGACGGGAAGCAGTGCCAATCACGGGAGGACCTTCAACGTGCGCTAGAGTCAAGAAGAAGAGGACATAGTCGTAGCGAGTAGTCATGCCG